CAGTGGCGGTGAGATGGGAGAGCTCAAAAGGCCTGGTGTTGTCAAGATGCTCCTAGAGGCACGTGGAAACCACCAGTAGGGGGCAGCCCAGCATGCTCCTTAGTCTCCTGGTTCCCGTCCGGAGGCTGTGGAGCAGGGCGCAGAAGGCTTTCAGACGTTAGCCTTCCGGACGGTCTAGAGAACAACTTGAGGCCAGGCGGATTTGTCCGCTGAGTAACTGAAGCCCTGGGGTCCAGCTCCCTGCAGTCATTTCACCAGTGTGGTTTTCTTTGTCTCTTTCGCTGCCTCTCTTCCTCCCTCCCTCCTTCCCTCCCTTCCTCTCTCTTTCTCCCTTCTTTCTGTCCTTCTGCATACATTTTTAAAAAGCAAAAAATATATACAGATAACAGTAACTTCATGTACTTATATCCAGAACTGACACTTTAACATTTTTGTTTTTTTGTTACAAGTGTTTTTTCTCTTTTAACAAAAGAAATAGTTTAGTAGTTTAATAAAATACTTTTAACAGTTTAAGTTTTTTTTATCCCAGACCCATACTCCTTTCCCGAGGTGACCTTGCTTGCAATCTTTTTATACTTTACATATATACTTGACTATGAACATTGTGTGGTTGTTTTGTGTGTATTTTTAAACATCTGTGTGAATTGTTTTATGTTATATGTATATTTAGTATTCCATTTGGCTGATTTTTCTTTTTCACTTAGCATGAAGATCTCTTTCTACTCAAATATAAAGATCTGGTTCAATACAACTTATGTATTTAACACACCTTATTTTTCTGTTTTTTTTTTAAATTAAAATTATTAAGGTAACATTGGTTAATAACATTATATAAGTTTTAGGTGTACAACATTATGATTCTGTATACTCTGTAAACTCTATTGCGTGCTCACCACCCAAAATCTAGTTTCCTTCTGTTATCATATATTTGACCCCCTTTACCCAATTCTTCCTCCCTCCACCCCCCTTCCTTTCCCTTTGGTCTTCCCCACCACCATTCTGTTGTCTGTATCTGTAAGTGTGTTTTGTTAGTTCGTTTTGTCACTTTTTGTTTTATATCCCACATATGAGTGAAATCACGGTTTTTGTCCTTTTCGTCTGACTTATTCTACTTAGCGTAATACCCTCAAAATCCATCCATGTTGTCACAAATGGCAACTAGTTCATCTTTTTTTATGGCTGAGTAGTTTCTTTATTGATGGACACTTGGGTTGTTCCTAACTTTTTTTTTTTTAAGATTTTTATTGGGGAATTGGGGGGATGGGAACAGTGCTGGGGAATTGGGGGATGGGAACAGACAAGTTGCTGTCGTTTTGTTCTTCAATCTAGTTGTGGAGGACATTGCTTCACTGGCCCAAGTTGGCACCATCATTGCGCTCTTCCCGGGCAAGGCAGATCAGTCATTGGCTTCTGGACGGCCGCTCACTGCGGCTACTGGCCGCTCACGCTGGCTGCTGGCTACACATGGTAGCCCATGGCAACCCACTGCCACAGGGGCTGCAGCCCATGCCGTCACTGGCGACTCACAGCAGCCCAGCTCCAGGTTGAGCTGTTGTTCAGCATCTTAGCTGTGGAGGGCAGTGTCACTGGCCCTCATATGTGGGATCCGAACCAGGGCCCTCTGGCGTCCCAAGCCAGTTCTTAACCATCGTGCCACTTGGCCGGCCCGTTCCTAACTTTTGATTCTGACCATTAATATAGTGAATATTCTTGTATATGTCTCCTTGTGTGCATGCATGAGAATTTCTCTTGGGTCAATACTTGGAAATGGAATTGCTGGGCCATGAAGCGTGCCAATTTATAATTTTCCAGGATACCGGCACACTGCTCTTCAAAGTGGTTATACCAATTTACGCTCCCTCTAACAATGTAAGAGAAATTCCCCACATCCTTTGAAATGTTTTGTACTGTCAGACTTTAAACATTTTGTCACTGTAGTGGGAGCGGAATGGTATGTCATTGTTGAATCTGCATTTCATATTCTTGTGACGTGAGCAGCTTTTCATATGTTTCTTGCCCATTGAAATTTCCCCTCTGTGACTTGTCTCTTACCAACTTTACTGTCTTCCTCTCTAGTTCTGTGATTCCTCAATGGTAGCTAAAGAGAGTTTCTTAAGGGGTAGATTTCATGACCAATTTATAACCAGCAGCTATTTTGTGAGCATCTCTGCAGATGGCAACTTATAAAGGGGAATTCTTGGCACCTGGGAGGACACTTGCCAAACTTTTAATCCAGCTCTTCTGTTGATTTTGACCTGGTGAAAAATTCATTATTTGTCTGGGACATTCCTGCCTCCACAGTGAAAGAGTAACCTTTTTTTCCCATAATTTCATAGGGTTCTTTTGTGGTTTTCAGCAAAATCCCCTGTCTAGCCTCAGATCCAAGAACAGTTATGCTTTGCTAACGTCTGGCTTATTTTCATCTCATGCGCACTATGAATTTACCACTGACCACATTCCTTCTTTTCTTGGGCATCGGTGACTAGAAAGCTTAGAATTAAGCTTGTGACTTTTTCCTAATAAGTACATGCATTTTTAAACCTAACTCCTAGGCATCCGTTGATGTCTCTGCCCTTGCTTTTCTTTCTCCTGTGCCTTCCATTTTTATTTATGTGAGCTCGTTGTATTTTATTGAGTACAACCGGTGAGTTTTTACATTGAAAATCTGATGAAAAATGAAATAAAAATGAAATAAAGGGCATAAATAAGTAAAAGAAAAGTTAAAGAGAAATGATTCGTGCCAAAGACATTGATTAAGTATCTACTGAGTGTCAGGCCCTTGTCATGAGATACAGTGATGATCCAGGCAAAGAGAGTTGATGCTTTCAGAACAGTGACAACCACCATGCTAGATCAGCTGCAAGGAGTGGACAGGCTTCTCTGGAAGTCCTGATTGTGACCCTGAAGGAAACCCTATCCACATTAATTACCATTTTTGCTGCTGTTGCATGAAAAATGCAGTAAAATTTAGGGCTCTCTGGAATGCAGTTCTTATTGGGAGATAATTTAGAAGAAGGAGGTCACTGTGGTCTCTAGTGAAAATCTTAGTGAAATGAAAATCTCGGAAAATGTATTTAAGTGAGATAATTTTGAAACATCCCATAAAAACTCTTGATGCTGAAAATTGTTGTTTGAGCATTAAATTGGAGTCTTAAATTGTTTCCTTCTGTGTGTGGTAGAAGGAGATAAGAGAACTCATCCTTCCTGCACATCTATTAAGTGCCAGGCCCTGGGTATCTAGGAGAACCAAAATCTTTGAGTGGAAGATGCCTTTCTATCTAGGAGGTTGCATTTTAATGTAACGGGACAATGTTTATGTGGGTCCTTTTAAAATGATTTCTCTTTGGTTTGATTTTGTTCCTTCAGAGCATTCACTTATTTTATTTCTAAAAATTGTTTTCTAAAAATGGGCTCCCCAACTCTTAACATTAATCTTTGACGTTTTTTTTTTGGATTAGGTAGAAGGGACCTATAGATGCTGTATTCTCTCCCCCATTGGTTATTTATTTTTTAAAAAAATTTAACTAATGGTGGTAATAGCAGGGTTATATATTTGTTTTCAGTGTCCTAATTGGAATATGTTATGTATCTTAAATGTTTTGAAAAAGAAAGGGGAAATCCATCCTGCCACAACTTCTTATAGTGCCTTTGGAACTCCAAGTGTTGCCCATGTATCCATCCATCCATCCATCCATCCATCCATCCGTCACCCATCTATCCATCCTCCCTTCATTCACTGAATACCTAACTGGTGAAAGGTACTTTACAAGATGTTGTGGTTCATATTAAGAACTATAAAGCAGGATCCGGCTGTATTCAAAGAGGCTGTGATTAAGAAAGCTGGATAGACAGATTCTCAAATAACTGTAGCACAAGGAAACTCCATGGAGGCAGTTTCCAATAGCTGTGTGTTTGTATTACTAGGGATTTTCTTGGTTTTAAGTGACAGAAAATCAGATCAAACTTCTGTTAGTGACATCTCACCTCAGAAATGACTGGATTCAAAGGCTCAAGTAGCATTTTGGGGGTTCTGTCTCTCTTTATCTCTCTTAGCTTTCTTTCTTTCTGTGTGCTGACTTTAGTCTTGGGCAGTCTCTTTCCTTGTGGCAGAAAAATTTCTCATGGAATCCCAAGGCCTGTGTAATCTTTCAGCTATGATCCCAGAGGAGGATAGAAACTCTCTTTGTCTCAGCATTCATGTGTTTAATCGTAGGAAAGATTCTCACTGGCCTAGTTGAGGTCACATGCACATCTCTAAGTCAATCATCATGGCCAAGGGGATGGAGTTCTCTGTCCAGCCAGACTCATCAATTTATTCCTACACTGGAGGGTTTGGAGGGTGGGGGAAGAGGGAGGTTCTTACAGAGTGTATACTTGGGTCATGCAGAGTTTGTGAAATGTTTCCTAAAAAGAAAAACTGGTGATAATTACTGACAAAATCAGAAAGAGGGGATGTTGGGCTAAGAAAAGAGAAAGTGAGGAAGGAGGAAGGGAGAGAGAGAAAAAAAGGAGCAAGGGAATGTGCCTCAGCGTTTCAGGAGGCACAAGGAAGGAGTGACTGCTTCTCTTGGAACGTGAGGGAAGATGTGATTTGTCTTGCGTGTGATGATGCCAGCATCCCTGTGGCTGTCACCATAAGAGTGAAACACTTTTGAGAGGTAGTGGATGAATTTCCAAGTTATTTTCACCTTTATGCACAGGAGAAGCCATGAAAGGGGAGGCAAACCAAAATTGTTAGTTGAAAAACTGACAAAAGATTAAGAAAAAAGTGAAACCTGGTGAACCTGTCATTGACTGTGAAACTTGATCAATCATTTTTTTTTCCTCAATCACATTCTGACTCCACTAGCTGTGTTTTTTTTTTAAATGGTGTGATTAGGTTGGGTGGGGAAGAATCACCTTGAGCACCCTGGTGAAGTTGGATGGAAGTTACCCATTCTTTTACGTACTGCCTACATTCTGAGTCACTGGTTATCACTCTTTGCTTTTTTTTTTTGCAGTTACATTGCAAATCAGAAAAGGTTAGAAATCATCAACGAAGATGATGTTGAAGCTTACACGGGACTGAAAAATCTGTGAGTACTTAGGACTTGTGTACTTTATCTCAGAACTTTTTCTTATGCTCTATTATAGTTAGACAGGCATTCATCAGTTAGTCCTAACATGTATGCAATGATGTGTTTTCACAGGACAATTGTGGATTCTGGATTAAAATTTGTGGCTCACAAAGCATTTCTGAAAAATAGCAACTTACAGCACATGTAAGTAAAGGATGATATTTTTGTTTTCCACGACCCAATTTGTTGAATATTTCCCCCCTCTGTTTATTTTCCTTCTTTTCCAACTCCAAATCCCCTTTTTAAAAGTTGGTATAGCTGTGACAATAGCTTAGAAACACTAGCTTTGATTCCTGAATAGCTTCACAGGGGTATGAGAACAGCTTGATTATTCCCTTTCATGAGTTTCTGGGCCATTTCCATTCTGGACAGAGCAGTAGGCCAAGAGCAAGGAGTCTGATGTGAAAACTATGTTCTGGTACCGCGTCCTTGATTCTTTTCCTTGGAATCATGACGTTCCCTGGAATACATCAAACCAATGGAATTGAAAGGAACTGACTTGGCCGTGGCCTTTTTTAGGGAGCTAAAAATTACTAGTGCTTTCCCTGCTACAATAGATCCTCTTTTGAACCTTCCTGTTCCCAAAGCTACCTGTCATGGTTGATAAAAGTGGAGAAAAATAAATCATGAGACCTGCCAAAGGTTCAGACGATTATTAACAATAACAAATGCTTTACCTGAAGTCACACTAAGACTTTGTCAACTGAAGTCAAATGGAAATGAGGACAACGGGAGCCTTAGGTTGTTTGTTGCTAAATCCTGTGAGATGATGGCATTTAGTCCATAAGGTGTGGCCTTCCTAAGGGTTTTCTTCATTAAACAGAGGATCACCCACTCCTAAGTGCAGATGGGTGTGCGCGTGCCTTGAATTTTCAGTGGGACCTTCTTCTGGAGGAATGTTGCCTGCATTTATCGGCCCTTTTGTGCTTTGCAAACTCTCTGCAATAATGTCTATGTGTCTCATAGTCTCCAGTTTACCTATAAGACTCTTTACCTCACTTTATCTCACTTGATTTTTCTAAAAATTGGTAGGGAAGATCTTTTTAATTCCCATTTCATGGACATAAAATCAGACTGAGGAAGCGGTAGGACTTCTCGGGTCCACAGATTGAAAGTGCCAGAATTAGGACCTCTGGGCTCACTCCAGGCTGTGTTCTTCCAAAAAGAGTATAGGAAATAAAATTTGTGCCATCCTTAGAATTCGAGAGTCAGCCATTCTTGTAACATTTGCCCTCTTTCTTTTTTTTTTTGGGGGGGGGGGGAGGAGAACAGCTCCCCAACTGGTTTTCATGCTAGTTATAAAAGAAAGCATTTTCTTAGAGCAGATTGCCTAGACTTTTTCTGGAAATTGGTTGATATTATGGAAAACCTTAATTTCGTAAAGCCAATACAGTGACTCCATATTTTATAGGTGGCATTAATGATGAAATCAATTTAAAAATAAAGTCTGTAGAATTCAGATAAAAAAACATTTGGCAAAAATGTGATAAAACTCTAAGGAACTTTATTAACACATTTCATTTAAATGTTTTTTGGCATCATCTCTGTAGTTGGTTTGCCGGCACAAGTCTGATGTGTGCGTAGGCCTTGATAGCATAAACAAGAGAGAAGTTGCATGGAAGAAAAAGGCAAGATGCTCTCTAATGCAATCACTTAAATGTAATTAATGACCTCAGTGATTAAGTTCTGGTATTTTCATTACAGCTGACTTTAGACCTGAATTACCCAACAACCACTTTTCACTGGCTGTTTTACCATATCGCTTAAGCCCTGATGTTCTGATTTTTGTATGGCAAATTGTAGTTTTAGTAATAGAAGTAGTTAGTTCTTTATTATAGCTCATAGTTTCCTTACTTTTCTTGTTGCATGCTATTTGTATAAAAACAAAAGTCACCTTGTGTATTTTTTTCAAGGTGATACATGGTAGGATAATTTTAATAACATTCTTTGTGTTGTATCTGTCCAGATATCTGTCCCCGTCTTCCATAGAGGTACCATTTGTAAATAGGAAACCAAAGAGATGGACATATCCTATATAGTTTCTTTAAAAACCAATAGTCTGGAGGCCTTATCATTGGACAAACTGTTAAAACTCTATTGATACTTGTAGGCATGTTTACATAGTAAGGCAGAATGAAGGCAGGCAAGTATTTAGTTATGAAGAAGTTGTGGAATGTCAGTAAGCTTCATATATTCATGCAATGAAAGAGGCTCCTAATCACCAAAATATGAAATGAAATTAAATAGTTGGCTTTTGAGAATGGCAGAGAGGAAGGAGGGAGTGAAGTCAAATGTTTACCTTTCCAGACCTTAGTCCCAACCTCTGCTTGTAACTGAGGACTTGGGGCAATTGGCTTTCTCTCCCCTGATTTCCCACATGTAAACTGTGCTCTTACCTGGAATATCAACACAGTGGGTGACAGCGATTTGGGAAAGAAATGTGTATCAGAAGCTGCTTCTCTCTATCACTGGGATGTACTGACTATCTCTGTGAGTTTCCCCAGGAGTATCAAAATGTGCAGAAGAGCAGTCTACTTCACTTGGGTTTTAAGGAAATTCAAATTGAGTTTTAAGGAAATTCAAAGTGTCTCTCACTTCCACCACTCCTACCTCTATGCTCTGCCTATTTAGCATCGCATGGTGACTCTCCAGGGCCCCCGTAACTGGTCGCTGAGTTCATTTTTTGGTGCCTTAAGTCCTTCCTGACCCCGGAGAACACAGAGACTGTGAGAAAACCCAGGATTTGTGTTTTCCAAGAGCTTTGCAGAGGTGCTAATTAGCTCTTTTGCAAAGTCCTATAATTAAACAGTAAGAGGATTGTTGATTTTTCCCCCCCTCCCTCCTCCGTTTTGGCTTTTGGCCCCAATAATAAGTATGGTTCATAGAACTCATCTTGTTCTTTGGAGCATAACCCCGCCCTGGGCTGTGCTGCTGGCAGTTGGACAGGGGCAGCTGTTCCTGGTGCGGGCTCGCTATCTGACCGGAGAATCTTGACAATAAGTGTCCTCTTTCTTTACTTCCTCTCTCCTTGTTCTTGGGAGGAAGAGCAGGTTCACCCCCTCCCCAAGGATGGGGATTTCTGATGAAGATAAAAACATTTGTGTCTCCAAAACTCTGGAGAAGACAGGCAGATTGACTTTTTAATGTATTATACTCCAATGAGAGACTTTCTTAATCACATTCCAGAAGAAAAGATTTATGTGGGCACAGTTTTTAACTTCCTCGTGGAGTATTTTTTCATGTGGGAGAGGACTTTACACACAGTGTGAAAAGAGAAGATGCAAGTGTAGAAGGAAGAGAACACCCTGGTGAAGGTAGGGGTTTGGGTGAGTGGAAATGTCAATAGAGAGTAAAGCAGGGAGTGGACACAGGCATTCTTGAATTATGAGGCATTTTCTTTATTCATCAACTAACTAGCCTTAACTCATGCATTAGCTCCTGGGTTTAAACTCCTCTCTGAAGGTGACTGGTGAGATACACCAGGATACTTCAGCTAGTGATTTTGTTGGGCTAACACAACAGACTATTCTGTTGAGCTAACACAACAGACTAGCAGCCTCAGGTAAGGGCCCAGGATCACTGACTGGCCCCTCAGATCTCCCATTCTTATCTGACTCTCAGCCCAACACTCACTTTCCTGAGGAAATAGATACTGAAAGGTTCAGGGCCATTTGTTGAGGGCTTGGCTGTTTTTGTAAAAGTTGATGTTTGTTTGATATTCATGTTACTTACTAAACACATGTCTAGAGGCCCAATCGTTGGACACTTTTAAAATAAATTCAACTAGTAAACAAATTCACAGATGGAGTCAGCTGCCAGGATTATGGCTCAGAATTTCCCAACTCAAGGTCTCATGGCACTGATTCTTAGAAAGTAAAATTCCTGTCCATTGAATAAAACTACATATTTGAAACATGTCAGTAAATTCAGTATTATTTTTTCATTCACAAATATGATGTCTTTTCATTGGTTGATCCAAACCTTAAAATGACATGTCACTAGGATAGTTCAAGATAAAATCTGACATATTCCTTTTTATCTGATTTTTTGTTGTTCTCTTTATGGAATTATCTGGCTATTTAGAAATCATATAGAAACAATCTCAACAGAGTTTATCAATCCATAGGTGTGTTCTATCCTATAAAAATATATTAAATCCAGTTAATATTCAGAGTTTAGTATGTCACATGATTTCAAAATATTCATGATGCTCATTAGTTTTAAAACACCTTTCTCCCTAGCAAGTTTATGGTTTTCAGTTAAATTAAATTTAATTTTCCTATTAATTGTTCAAAAGGTCAGAGATCTCTAGGAGGTATGTAACTTGGCTCTGAATCGGCATGTGAAAAAAGCTTTTAGGTAAAAAAGAGGTTAAAAATAGACAGTATGAAAACTATGCCCCATCCCAAGCAAGAACTGTAGGAGATGCAGAAAAAACTAAGCTATCACTTCAGGTCAAAAAAAGAGATTATTGGATCTAAGCAAGGCATGGACCATGATCAAATAAAATTATATTTTGAAAACAAAAAACTCTATTTGAATACTTTATTCCTAAAATGTAGATTTTATATTCACATTAATGTTTTTGATTCCTTTCAGCAACTTTACCCGAAATAAGCTGACGAATTTGTCTAGGAAACATTTCCGTCACCTTGACTTGTCTGCGCTGTAAGTAATGATTTTGTGTGGCATTTTGGGGGAAAAATTTTAAGGAAAAGGGTAATTAAGTATTTTTATTTAAATGAATGATGCTGCAGATCTTTTTTTCTGTCAAAATTCTTGAAAAATGATTTCTCAAGTTTTGGTTACTTGTTCTTTTTTTCCCTCATGAAGATGTGATTCAGTAGTAAAACAAACAAACAAACAAATTAGAAATCTCAATAGTAATATATCATTTTTGATGAGTTTAAATGTTGTTTTTGCACAAATGATTTATTTTCTAATAGAGGGAGAAAGAGAAAAAGATGGAGGGTTTGTGTTAAAATGGTTACGTACTATCTCATAGCATCTGTTTGGTTCCCGTTATGTCCAGGTCCTAATGAAAAGCAAACCCTTTCAAAGAGGAAATAACAGTGGGAAAACCACCCAAGCTTTTATCCACCAACCACAGTGCCTGCTGGTGCTTAGTGAACTTTGGAGGAGAGGTTGTCCTTCTCCCTGACTACCCATTCTTATAAGATTTTCATCTAGGTCTACCACTGCATTCAATATTTATCCTATGCCCCCAATTTCCTTTGTTATAAAGTGATAAGAAAAATATTGAAATGTGTTGATGGCTAATAACCAGCATTTCCAAATGTGTTCAAATTTGTGTTATCACCATGAAGCAAATGTAAACTGTTGATGTTCCTATGGGTAAGGTGCCCTAAGAACCCTAAAACAGAGGCTCTACATGGCAGAGGTGGGCCCAGATAGACAAGGCCTTCGAATATAAGGCAACACTTTTGCTTAGACTGTTGCCTGAGTTGAAAGATATACCCCTATTCACCAGGAAAGTGTGCAGATTAGAAGATGCCACAAGTGGAGCAACAACAAGTTAATAGGTAGTAATCAGGGTGACATGGTTGAAGTCTTGGCGATTGGCAATTATTTGTAATAAACTGAATTCAGGCAATTGAAACACTAGGTTTCTAACACAAGGATAGGCATGAAAAACTGAATTTAAGGAAGATACATGAAATAGAGTAAGATATTCTAAAAATTTTAAGCATCGCTGTAGAAAATTTTCTTGATGTGTTAAAAATTAGAACTCTGATTCCAAATTCATGTGTCTCAATATTCTCCCTGCAGCCTATTAAATGAATTCATTCAACAAATGTTAATTGTGTGCCTGTTAGAAATCAAACTAACATGACACTGGCCATGGGGATATAAGGAGAACTGTTTTCTGTGTTCTAGGGTTCTGCCATCCAGTGGGAGAGGTAGAAGCCTAAACAAATAAGTGTAATAACAATCACTGCACAAGGAGTCTGCACAGTGAACTAGAGGAAAAAACCAGCTGTCTGCCAGCATTGTATAGTCATACAAACATTGCTATATTTATAATTTAAGATCATTTCACTTCTTTATCCTTCTGAAGATTCCATCCTGCCTTCTTTTCAGAAAGATTTTTTAGTTTTTCATGTACTCAAAATGCCAGGAAACATTTTGGGGTAGTTGAGGTTTAAGCACTGTGGATCTCTTCCACATTACAAGCCATATCCAGTAGCGTCAAATCTTGTTTTGGTGATGGAGGGATACTTGAAGGCGATCAAGCAGACACACATTAAACGAGTCTGCCATGACCACATTTTCCCCAAAGAAGCTCCAGGAAAAGTCTCCAGGGATCCCTGAGATTCTTAGAACGCGACCAGAAAACCACAGGAGTAAATGATGTTGCAAAGCTCAGGTCCTGTCCTCACGGAAATCTTAAGTATTGTGGTTAATGCCAGGCAGAGCCTATGTAACGATTTTAAATGGCCTCATTTAAAGGCTCATTACCATAAATGGAATTCATCTTAAATAGGCCACTGAGTATTATAAATAAGCATATAAAGATTTTTTTTCTTGTGGTTTTTATTTTCCTCTTGACTCCTTCCTCTTTTACCAATCACTTTGCCATAGGAGTCCAGGCAGCACGGCTGAATGGTGGCTTTATCTCAGCAGACCTTCTCACAGTGGGCTAGGAGGCTCAATCTGGAGCTCAGTTACCCTGAGCTTGATGTGTGTGTGTGTGTGTGTGTGTGTGTGTGTGTGTGTCCGTCCGTCCGTGTGTGCACACGTGTGCATGCATGCCGGAGGCCTAAAGAGCTCCCTTCCAGGCTCTCTCTTTCACATTCATGCCAACACTCTTGCATCAGTCAGATTGAACTGTGGTTGCAGAAAGCTAGGAGTGCTATCTGATTAGTTCTTACACTTTAGCCTTAGCATTGTATTTACAGTCTCATTTTAAATTAAGGTGAAATTGCTCCGGCCCCCCGACCCCCACTCCACCCTCCCCCACTGAAGCTTGGGCTTATTAATTAATAATACTTCCATCTCTAGCCTGGCCAGAAATAAATAGGTTAGCCTTCCTGAAAATTTATTGATGACATCTTCACTTAAGATCTTCTTAATAACTGTACAAGAACTGTGCTAAATTTTATATGGCACCTTTCCCACCCCTTTATATGAGACATCTTTTTCTATTCTACATTGCAGCTATTTCTGTCCCTATCTTGTGTCCCTATTATTCCAAAAGGTCTTACATCACTTTGCATCCTTTAGTTTCTACAGTGGTGTTTGCACATAGCAGAAACTCAGTAAGTATTAGAAAAATGAATAATAAGTACTGTTATGCTATAAAGGTGGGTATGACTTCGAAAGATTGCTGGCTAGAAAGAATTCATAATTTTGTAGGTGCTTCATGACCACAAATGTGATTAAGACTACAAACGAAGCCTAACTGGGTTTCATTTTTGTTCCATGTAGGATCTTGGTGGGCAATCCATTTACATGCTCCTGTGATATTATGTGGATCAAGACACTTCAGGAGACTAAATCCAGTCCAGAAACTCAGGATTTGTACTGCCTAAATGAAAGCAGCAAGAATATCCCCCTGGTGAACCTGCAGATACCCAATTGTGGTAATTTACTTTTAAGTCAATGGGTTGTACTTGCTATTAATTATTCTAATTGCCTTGGTGTGGTGCAGAGTCTGGGAAGATTACCACTACCTGGATTTTATATAGTATGCTGGTGATATCTCCAGAGAGTTGGGCAACATTTGTGGGCAGTGTGGAGAAATCAGCTGAGAGCAACTTGGTTGAAATTTTTTTGCAAGTAGAGTATTAATTTTGAATGGATGACTTTAAAGTTCATGGAGAAAAAAAGTACACTCTTTATTCCTTTGTTTCTTTGTTCATTTGTTTGTTAATCTATCCACCTATCCATCCATCCATCCATCCATCCATCCATCCATCCATCCATCCATCCATCCAAAACGTATCTGCCAAGAGTGTGGTACTTCACTGGTCACATAGATACTTGGTTGGCACGTAGGCCATATAGACATAAGGATCTTAAGGTGATAAAGTGTCCTGGCAGCACAAGAAAATGCAATTCAATGCAGCACATACCCTTAAACTTGTCTTGCTGCCAGATGTTCTGTGTCTCTTGATGGGACACTGCAAACCTGCCTTTATACCTGCTTTCCTCCATGTCTGGGTTTACAGCCTCCTCCTTGACTTGTCCTCTCTCCTCTCCTCAGCATTTATACCTCCAGAATTTAAAAGGGCACCATATAATAAAATCACAGTTCTCTGTGGGGCCCAGTGTGTTTACAAGTAAAGAGAATCCAAGTGTGCCTGTTAGGATTTTGCTGTGAAGGGCTTCTGTGACACACCTCTAGAATACCCATGTATGCATATGCATGTTATTCCTCTGTTGAAATTGTAATCAGTTAGTCAACCAGTTAATCAGCTCACAATTATATATGATCTTCTGGTTGAGTGGCTGATGGTGACTCAACAGAAAGCCATGCAGAACCTGATTCTTGTCCAAGAGGAATCTATCTGTATATTAACCACAAACATCCTGTTCTTTGTTTCCAGAGGACCCTACTGTTTGGGATCCGTTTTTATTTAAGGACAATATACTGCTGCTTATTTCTAATGAGAATTTAATAAAAGGAAAGATAAGTGTTTGTTTCTTACCCCGAAGGGGCTTAGAAGACAGCAGTTACCCTTGCCACAGATTTTTCTGTCATAACTGGAGGTCTTTGGCTTCATCATGGGGGAATCAGGCTTTGTCCCTTGCCAACTTCCCTCAGCTCTCTTTGCTAGCCAACACTGGAAACAACTTTTAATCTTTATCTTTTTGTGATTGATAAGAAGGTAACTCTCCTCTGTTCTGGTATAAATTTGCACCACTGAGAGAAATTGCCTTGAGGGACAAGAAATCAAATTTGAGTCACCTGGCCTCTTGGCCAGCTCCCAAATCCCCGTGGCTGTTGCGACCACATTGGTTCAGCAACCACTGAGAGGGAAAAAGAGAAAGCATCTGACTCCTGCTCTGATTTCACAAACTGCCTCTTAATAGACGTTTGCTTTGCCCTTGCCTGAAACCAATTCTAGTTTTTAATTTTAATTTTTGGCCATGTTGTCTTGACAGCATTTCTGTAATGCTTCCCACCATATGTGTTGTTGATAGACAATTGTGATTGCAGTAGGGTACCAGTGAACTGGTCTTAATTTTTCCTGATCAATTTGTCAATTTTCAGTAATTTTTTATTTGTTTCATACAAAATAGTCAATGAATTGTGTGTATGAGAGTGAGACTTTGAATCCACTGTCAGAGAGCAGACACTTGATTGATGGATTAGGATTGAATTGTTACATTCATGGTAACATTTACAATTTCAATGTGAACAATGTTTTTCAAAAGGCAACCTTATAAAAGGTGAATAAATAGACTTATTTTTCTACCACTTTCCTATTCTTAGACTGTTTTGTTATTTCTCTGTTAATTTTTATTTTCTTTCAAGTGTTTTTTATTTATAATTGTACAATAATATTGATACATTTTGTTGTAAAACTTCCTGTATCACACATAAAACTTGTCTTTTTCTTATTTGAAACAATTTCAGGTCAGTAGTCATAGACCTATCATAGTCTTTTTAATTATTGCTTGATATTCATAATAAAAAACCCTAATTATGTTAAATCTTCCATATTGATGAGCATTTTGCTTATTTCCCATTTTTCATTACTATAAAGATGTACAGAGGCAAAGGTTTTTCTAGAGTACAGAGTAGGAAGCAAGAGTTTTTTATTTATATGGTTTGAACTTTAGAAAATGGTTGTACCAATTTATAGCCACCCCAGCAAAGCTTGTATACACCTTGATATTAGCAAACTTATTTTTTTGTCTTTCTAAAAAATGGTATGCCATCACTTTCTAGTTTACATTTTCCTGATTACTATCAAGTATCTTCTATATTTATTGGAACTGTGTTTATTCTTCAATTACCTGTTTATGTCCTTTGTCTAGTTTTCCTTTTCTTTCTTTTTCTTCCATTGACAGTATTCTTTGTTTTATTTTTTCTTCATTTCTTGAAAGTTATAAATTGTGTTTCTGTTTTTATAAATGTATAATACCACACATATTTAAGCAATATTTTCTGTAAGTATCTAGATATGACCCTCTGCCACGTCCTGCGCAGCAATAGTGGTGGGGAGTGAGAGAGGCTGCTCAGGGTTAAAGAAACGCAAGAGTCAATTATAGAGTTAAAGTGAGGCCAGGGGGCTGCAGTCTCTCACTTGAACTGAGCCCTGAATTGGGCCAATGTGTAACTTTTATTAAGAAACTTCAAAGAAGTGAAACTTGTTTTTTCTAAAGTCCGTGTGTTAAGTGCCTTATGGCTAATTTCCATCAACCAGCCCTACTGTATTCCAACACCTGCTGTGCCTTCATACTCCTACACACACAACCCCCCAGGATGGTGCAGCTGTGCCGCGGCCATGAAAACAAGAGAGATAACTGACATCATTCCGCGGGGTATCAGCATTCCAAGACACTTCCTCATGACCTCATTAGGTCAGGGGTTGGTGTGGGGGACGGTCGAGGATTAAGCTGTAAGGCAACAACCCTCAACAGGACAAGAGTCTTTTACTTATCTTTACTTCTTCACTTGACCTCTCACATTGTTATCATCTGGGATTTTTTTAGATTGTTACTTGGTTTTTTTGAAGATTTACTATTTCTCTGTGTACCATTGATTTTTGTATCCTACTTCTTGGGGTGGTTTTTCTGTTTTGCTGGAGTATATTCTCTAATATTTTTTTCAGAGAAATTAAAAAAATCTCCATGTTCTTGCCTGGTGGAAAATTAGCCTGTATTTTTTCTTCTCAATGGTATTGGCTGAGTATAAAATTCTAGACTCAAAATAGTTTTCTCTTAGAATAGTGCAGATATTGTACCATATTTTCCTTGTATTCAGTCTTGCTGATTAGTTGCTTGAGGCCAACCTGATGCTTATATCTTGATAGGTAACCTCTGCTTTTCTTTTTCCTCTAGAAGCTTTTAAGATTTTCTCCTCATCCACATTATTCTTAAATTCTACTACAATGTAACTAGGTGTGTGTGTGTGTGTGTGTGTGTGTGTGTGTGTGTGTGTGTGTGTGTGTGTGTGTGTGTCTGTGTCTGTGTTTAACATTTATTCTGGTTGATATGCAGTGTTACCCTCTCAATATGAGTGTTCACGTCTTCAGTTCTGGAAGAATTTTCTAATTTATTTAGATGAATAATTACTTTGCTGGCTCCTCCCTCCAACCTCTTAATCTTTCTGTAACACTTTCCATCTGCTTGTCCTTTCATGCTGCATTATGGGAGAATTGGTTTACTCTCTACGTTGCCCCTCAACTATTTCTCTAGCTACTGAATTTTTCTCTTATAACAATTAATTTTTAATTTCCGCAATCTCTAGTGATTGGTTTTTATGACTGAAATGGCTTTTTCCACATTGGGGGTCACTGTATGTCTAGGGTGTCACAGAACCTAGCATGACTGGTTTTCTCCTGTAAAGCTCTCACACTCATTGCTTCCACTTGGAGGTAACTACAGCTGTTGTTGGATGCTGTGTCCATGGTGGGAAGGTAGGGGCAGGTATGTGGAAAGTTTATTTCTCCTGTTGTTAACCAATGACCTTGTGGCTTGGCCTAGGTGGGGTTCTACTCTGTTCTTTAGTTCACCCCTTCAGTCTTGGGTCAGCCTAGAGCCTCCCTGTTTTGTCTAGCACATACTATGTGTTCATTTGGACCTGCTCTGTTTTTCTTTAATCTTATTTCCCTGCTTTCTCTTGTTCAGGGGTTCTTCATAGTTTCTTATCTATCAATAATATGCTTTCTTGTTTTCCAACATGGTTCTGGATTAAAAATTTCTTTTACACAATTTCTAGAGATTTGAGATGAGAGCGTGAGACTTCAGTTTAGGGCTTGGTCATGTATTGGGTTATTGGAAAAGTCATGACATATTTTTCTATATTTTTCATTGCAAAAATGCATCATGACTTTTCCGATGACCCAATATTAATTTTCTCCATGATGGTTTCCCAACTTTGGTTCTTTAAAGAGAAGTTAAATTGAACAGTAAATTACACTAGATTTTTGGATTTCAATTCTGTCTCTGAAGTTCCATGTTGAAGAAATCAGGTAATATGCTAATATCTCCAAGTTAGATCTTGTTTAAAACATGGATTCATAGTAAGTGGCTTCTTATGGGTTTCATGCTTTGCAAGTTTTTAAAACGTACCTGTTGTGTTTAATTAAGCCACAGGTATGTTGAATTCATCTCATTTCCACTTTTTTTTTTAATCAAATTTTTAGCTAACTCTAAGAATTACTCATAAGCATATGGTCTTGTGTGTTTCATCATTGTAAACCAATGATTTGCCAATAACGGTGGCCATTACTTTTAGTTTGCAACCAATAATATTTTAATATCAATAAAAAGGAGCTATTAGGATTTAATTATTTTATAAGGTGGGTTTTGTTTAAAAACTTTCTCTTTATTATGATGTATAAATTGCCAGTTATAAAAATAGTCACAGGGATCTAAAGTACAGCATAGGGAATATTGTCAATAATAC